GAAATGTCAGATAATAGTTTTGATGGAATTTACAGCTTTCAAACTTGTCAAATATTCATTCTTTCTTACTTTGTAAATGAAAAGATCTATGCTGCATCCGATAAAAACTTGAAGAAAGCAGAAACAGACATCCTCAATCTGATAACAGAAAACTCTAAAACCAAAGAGATTGATCACAAGGCTATTGGTAAACTGTCAGATTCACAAAGAAGTAGGGTTATGAGAATGGAGATAAAACACCACACCAAGATACGGATAGACCAGAGAATCAACCGCATTGTTATCCGAGGGGTTGCTGARGACGTTTCTAATGCTACTGTGGGTAAGTATAATTATTTTCAAGTACATATTAAGCATCATTATTATTGTGAGTTATTAGTTTTAGCAGGGTTTTTCTAGAAAGTAAAAATATACGGTTGTTACCCGAAAAACTCCTAAATTCTTGACGATTACATTTGATTCATCTTTGACTACAAGATAAATAGTTATTGCTGTTGTTCTTGGCCTTAAATTTGTCCCAAGCGGACGTTTTCTAGATGTTTTGCTTTTGACACCCGCGGGAATCCCTCGATGTAGATGTTGAGTCGGGAGCGCAAGTCAAATCGGCGGGAGGATATCGGGAGTTTTTGCTTAACTTTTGCTTATGTTTAAAACCCCGTCTACACGAGCAATTTTACATAATTATGTGACTACTTTATGTGGCAACTTTTATTTGCTTGTGTAGACGATCGGCAAATATTTGTTGTCAATTTGCGTCAGTAATAATTTCGGACAAAGGAGATGAAATAAAGGCTAGGGGACAAAACAAGATGGCACCAATAAAGAAAAGAAATAGAAATGCTGCTGCAATAGCCACTTTATTAATGATATATCAAATTGAAAAGACCAAAAAAAAAAAAAAACATAGAAAATGTGGGCAAAAGCCTGGAAAACCCAATTACGTAGAGAGGCTCAAGGATTTGCTGCTAATCTAGTAAAAGAGTTGATGGAAATAGATCGTGATGGCTTTCAAAACTTTTTCCAGTCAATAGTTTCAAGTTTTTTTCCCCGTTCTTTTATTCTCGTCGTTTTGATAAAATGTAAGCTATATATTAATGTACGTATAAATATACGCAAATTAAAGCCTGGTTCACACTAGAATAGTAATCGTAATGGCAAGTGTGAACTAAAAATCGGAAAGTAAAGGAACAGAAGGGTTTGTTTTGTTTTGTTTCATACAATTCCAATTTCGATTATTATACTTATAATCATGCACATGAATCAAAGAATCAGAATCGGAATATTTGGCCAATGATAGAGTTCTTGCCCAGGCTAACGAAGCAGAAAGCATAGCGACCTCGCGGGAAAATAACAAAGAATACCTGGACCAACCGTGCTTGCGTTATTTTGATTCACGCTAAATGGTAAGGTTCTTGCAATTACGATTGCGATTCTGATTTACGACGCTTATGACGGTAGTATGAACAAGGCT